ACAATAATGATAATAATAATAATAATAATAATAATAATAATAATAATAATAATAATAAGGAAATAAGTAACAGCCAGATGACAGTTTTAGATCGCACCATCTCATTGAAAGCCATATAGTCACACTGTGCCCAACGAGCAACATTGCACCAATAATACACCAATGGAGGTTCGTAGCCCTGAAAACCAATGTCCATGGAGAGCATACTCTCTCCTCTCAACTCAAGAGTCCAGTTTCCTTCACACTCACACTTGGCGCTTAGCGCTCAACTTGCTCCTATACAACTACTACAGACTACAAAAAGACAATGCGACTGTTGACATCAGCGGCAGCCCGGAGTTCTTGAAGGTGTTGGCCATGGCAGACCATCGTCAGCGCCAGGTATGTGCCCTCACATCATCATCATCACCATCATCATCATCATCATCATCATCATCATCCCATCATCATCATCCCCTCCTTTTTTCTCCTCTCTCTCTCTTTCCTCTCTCCTTCTGGGATCTTCCTCATCTCCTCCTTCTCTTTCTTCCCTGCGTATCTTTCTTCCATGCAATCACCTTTTCCCTTTTTTGCACTTTTCCTCCTTCTGCCTCGTACCTGGCCATAATGCCGGCCAGGTTCCACTCATTCGGGGAGAGTCATAGCTACGAATCCAAACACAAATAGACATACTACTACAACTATTACTATGATTACTATAATAATAATATTAATAATAATAACAATAAATGAGAACAAACGTATACAAGCTACGTTTTCCTACCTGATATAGTCATTTCGGGGCAATTCTGCTACGTTGCCGACCGATGCATTATTTCCTAGAAACCTCCGCCCTCGTATATGGCAAGTTACTGGATGCTAAGCCGAATAAGTTAATAATAATAATAATAATAATAATAATAATAATAATAATAATAATAATAATAGTAATTATGATCAATCAAAAAAAAATAAAAAATAAAAATAAAAAATAAAAATAATAATAATAATAGTAATAATAATAATAATAATAATAATTTAGGAATAACGATTGTATATAACCGATCTTTTCTGGTTTAATGCTTGTAGAACGAGTGCGAGTTTCTCTTCGCACGGCAGCAACGAAGACCGTGGACAATCTTGACAGGTAAGCTTTCTTTTCTTCATTTCATCTCTCCCTTCAATCTTCTCTCTCTCTTCTCATCTCTCTCTGTCTTTCACTCACACACACACACACACACACACACACACACACACACAATCATTCCATCGATAGAATGAGCAAAAACGGAATGAATCTTCCGCTGAAACGTGGAAATATACACTGGCACTTTTGATTTGCTCATCCTATCGATCCAAGTGGCGCGCGGCGAGGCGCGAGTGGGAGACTTAGCTGTCGGCCAAGGTAGTATCTCTCCCTCTCTCTCTCTCTCTCTCTTTCTCTCTCTCTCTTCTTGGTCGAATCATGAACGTCTCACACACTCACATTCCATCGATAGGACGAGCAAAATCAGAATGAATCGTCTGCTGAAACAGGGAAATGTACACTGCCGCTTCTTGATTTGCTCGTTCTATCGATCCAAGTAGCGTGCGGCGAACCGCGGGTGGAGACTTATACTCTCACTCTCTCCCCCTTGTAGTCCGCAGATACTGAGAATGCCAGATACGGAGAGTGTGAAGAAGAGATGATGGACTTAGAAGAGGAAGAAGAAAAACTCTCTCTCTCTCTCACAGACACACACACACACTCATGTAGTAGTGAATCTCTCCACATTCTAGTGGTAGATTTATTTATTTATTTATTTATTTACTTATTTCTATTGATGAAAGTATCATAAGGTAAGCTGAGTGATCTCAGACTTACCCGTTCCCCTTCTCGTCGTCATCGTTGGCTGCTAGATACCGTCGTTGCCGGAGCCATCGTCGTTGACGTCGTTGACGAGCTTTGTCATCCGGTCTGGTAAGTATTTCTTCTTTTCCTTCTTCCTCCGACTCCTTCTCCTCTTCCCTTTGCTATAGCATACGACCTTTCCTCCTCTTTTCCTATTTCTCTTCCCTCTACTTCTTCACCCCGTTCTTCTTCTTCTTCTTCTTCCCTCCTCCTTCTTCTTCTCCGCGCACCCCCTCTTTTCCCTCTGCGCGTTTCTCCTCCTGCTACCACCGCGGGGCCATCTTTATTCGCTCCCTGCGCACCATTAGCTCTTCTTTCCGCGCGATATCTCCATAGCTCCCCGGCGCGGCTCTCCCTCTCCTTGCTTGCTACCGCGTTCTCTGCCTACGGGCAATGCCATTCTACCGCTAGCCCGAGCTCATTGTGCTGCTCTCCGACTATGCGCTATGCTACTCTGCTGCTCGCCCGCACCACGTCCGGCTCGTAGCGTTTGGTCGGCCTCGTTGGAAGATCTTCAGTCGCCCCGAGATGTCGAAGACCTCACGGAAATGAATCTGCCCAATACTCGGGGCGAATACACTGAAGAAAGTTACACGGGATTCGTTTTCGTCAAAAGGAAAAGAAAAGAAAAATAAACTCAATAAGAAATAAAAGAAAATTTAAGAAATCCGAAAAATGAAATCTAACATGATCTAACTATAACTACCCTAACTCGCCATGTCTCAGGCCCCGTTTCAACGGGGCAACTTCAACTAATTTTGATGACAAGGTCGCGGGTTCAAGTCCCGACCTTCTGAACGCGGGGTGAAATATATCTGAGCTCCTTGCCAAAAGGAGGTAACCCTCAAACAGGCAGACTCGATCCTCAAGTTGTCATTTGGCAATCAATACAGAAACCTACTAGACTAACTCCTGCTTTGAATAAAATAAGAGCAGTCCAAGTATAAATACAGTATTGGGGCCCAGTCCAACCAGCGGCTTGAGCCCATTTTGTAAGTCTGAGTACGTGCATGCTTGCCGGTCTGCATACCTGTCTGAGTGTCCGTCGGCTTGAGTGTGTGTGTGACCCGCGAGGGCACGTAGTTAGATCAGGAGGCCCGAAGGCCGGTAATTACCTATATCCATTACATGGAGGGTCGTCGCGGGGTAAACACTCAAGTAGCAGGTAGTCCGGTATCACACCAAGTAGAGGCAGATGCGCTAGGTACTCAAGGCTGATCAGAAGACGACAAAAGTTGGCACTTTTAGCCCCCCAGTAATGGTAGGTAGGCGGGTACCAGTCCAAGTAACCTGGATCTAGGGCACATGAGGACGACACAAGGGTCAGCAATGATGTTTCCTCCAGAGAGGAAGAAAGCTAGGGCGGCCGCGCGGTCAGGAAGTCATTGTGACGGACCCGTCGGGATGGCAGTCCGTCAGGATCAAGACGAAGGGATGAGGATGGGGGAGATGGAGATGGACCTGGAAGGGACAGCGCAGCTCCAACGCAGACTCAACATGCACGTACTCCAATCTGTGCAAATGAAGAATGAATCAAAAACAGACTACAACTGGGGTATACCCCCAGCGGACTGACTGACTGGACTGGCCTGGTACCGACAGTGGTACCGGGCAGGACTGGAACATCACACGGCCTGTGGGGTCAGGCCACGGCCTGGTCCCACAGGCCGAACTGGCAAATAGCCAAATAGGCCCTGGCTGTAGGCCAGGGCAGATGAAGGCCCGCTGCACGATCCTCAGACCTGTAATGGACCACAAGAGCCATAAACACGCTATCCGCAAAAGCAGTGGAACTCTGCAATAAAGAAAGCTGAGATCTAGGATGCGGAGCAAGCTCCATGCGGAGTCCATGCGATGCATCCTAAGCTACATAATGTCAAAAGAAAAGCAAATGTTTGGTATCCATATCCTACCTAATAGCAAAAAGTGAAATGTAGCAATATACAATCCTAAGGTCCTGGAGGCAATTGCCTCAGTGCTGAAAGGAAAAAGAGCAATATGGCACAAAATAATGTCATGTTGCTGAACCACTAAGGGTGGGATGGTCTCAGAGGGGGTGAATGCAGCCTAAGAATTGAAACTCCTAAGGGCAGTCACACGTGAAGGTGGGATAGGTCATCAGGCTCAAGGTGGGAGAGTGGTAGCGAAACAAAACCAAAGACCCTAACAGATAGACCATCAGGGCGGGTAATGCTCAACAAAAGGATGACACCATGCAGGGTCGACCATGAAAAAAGGGGGAGCCTGGAATAGGGTGGAGATATGCCTAACTGAAGGCATGCAAGGGCCGGCACTAGGGTGATGAGGGCAGTGGGTGAGGGAAACATGCACACAACTCACCGACTGGGGGAGGGGGAGGAGGGAGCTAGATCTGGGAGCAAGGAAGCCAAGATAACGCTACGGTCCGAATGCCTATGCGATACCAAGGGAGAGCCCAACTCAAAGAGACCCAGCTAAGTGAGAATCATCATGCGACAGATGCAAGGGGAAGTACAGGGTAGGGTGGTGGCGTGAAGTAGTCACGTCCAAAGTAGCTCAAGCCGATAAGGTAGCTGAAGTCGTCGAAGTGGTCGATGACGTCGATGAAGTAGCAGTCGAGTCGATGTCGAAGCAGAGCTGCAAAACGCTGACATCCTGAAGAAGCTGATGATGGAGTACCTGATGGTGTGAGTCAGTAGGGGAAAGATAGAGGATAAGAGTGTCAGTCATCGTAACGCGAAGGGCGACGATGAGTGCGCTGTGGACGCTCGGAGGCGACAGTCTGCGGCTGAGGAACGGCCTCAGAGGGAGCGGGCTCGTCCTCAACAATCTCCTCAGCTGGAGGAGGAGGAAGAGGGTCAGTCGGCTGAGCAGGGGCAGCCATCTCAGGACGACGAGCACGATCGTATGCACGCACCAACATCCTGGCGTGGTGCAAGTGCTCGAGGGGCTCCCAAGTAGCCTACTCATCAGGGTAGCCCTTCCAACGCACAAGGTACTCGATGCGTGGAGGGGTATCGTCGGTAACTCGGCGTGATACGATGTCGGAAACAACGAACTCCTCGTGACCGTCCACCATGATAGGTGGAGGGCGTTCATAAGGGCGTCCGGTGAAGCGCTCGGACGGTCTGCGATAAGGACACAACAACGAGACGTGGTAAACATCGTGTACGCGAGCCTGTCGAAGGTAATTAGGTAGCTTCACACGGAAGCTGACCGGACTAGCGGCAGTATCATAACCGACGGCCTAAAGGATGCAGCATGGACCGAAGAAACGACGCCTGAACTTGCGAAGCGTATCTGCTTCGAACTGTAAGTGGTGTGGGTCGACAAGCACATCGTCACCGACTTTGAATGGATGATCCATTCGTGATCGGTTCGCTCATGCGGCCATGCGAGTCTGGGAGTCGGCTAAACTTTCGTGTGCGCGCTTCATAATCGCCACCATGTGGGCGATCCAGTCGTCAAACGCAGGGCAACGAGTGTCTGGGCGCAACCGCGATGGTCGTAGGAAATCCGCGGGTACGCGAGGGTGGTAGACGAGGTCGCAATAGAATGGCGACCTCCCCGTGGTTGGCGGAACAGCGTGGTTGTACGCAATCTCCGTGTGGGCTAAGTGTAAGTCCCACTGCTGGTCATCCCTAATAAACTTTCGGAGGAAATTACCGAGAGTTTTATTGGTGACCTCAGTCTGACCATCCGTCTGAGGGTGGTAAGACGATGAGAAACGGAGCTGGGATCCGTACACCTCGGGTAGGCGTCGCCAGAATGTGCTGGTAAAGCGCGGGTCACGGTCGGAGATGATGCTCTGAGGTAAGCCGTGATCTCTCACGACTCGGTCGAAGACGATGTCGGCGACCTCATGAGCGCTAATGCGATAGCGGCATGAGACAAAACGTGCACGCTTCGTGAAGCGATCGACGACGACCAAGATAGCATCATGACCGCGCTCTGTGGGTGGGCGGAGGGGACCAATGAAATCCATCGAGATGGACTTCCAACGACCTTCAGGTATGGGTAGGGGCTGATGTAACCCATACGGAAGGTGGTTCGCACTGTTATCCTCCTGGCAGGTAGGACACTCCTGGCTGTACGCTTTGACAAAGTCCTTGGACTTCGGCCAGACGTATAGGCGGCAAACACGAGCCAACGTCTTGTGGAAACCCATATGACCGGCAGCTGCCTGGTCATGGAACTCTGCTACAGCCTGGACGCGGAGCTGTCCGGTGGAGGGAACGCAGATATGTGGTTCTAGCTGATCAGATCTGCCATGCCAATAGACGAGGCCGTTCTCCCCGAGGGAGTAGGAAGGAACGGTCTTGCCACTCCGCAGTGTCGCGTGGATGACGCGATAATCGGGGCAGTGAAGGTACTGAGTACGATACACGTCGATCACCGACTGATCAACAGTGGTGATGGAGATGGCAGCAAGATGGATGGGTTCCTGATTGTGATCAGGACGACGGGACAAGGCATCGGCGACGCGGTTCGTTTCACCCTTGATGGGCTGAGTGGTGAAACTGAACTCGGATACGTCACGCCACCAGCGTGCCTGTCGAGGGGAAAGCTTAGGCTTCGTGAGGAAAGCCTGGACAACTGAGTTGTCCGTGCGCACCGTGAAGGGCGCCCCGTGCAGATAATGACGCGAATGCCAAGTAGCATAAACTACTGCGAGAACCTCACGTTCATCGGTAGTATAGTTTATCTCGGCAGGTAGTAGTTGACGGGAGTAGAAAGCGATCGGGCAATCCCCAGCACGAGCCTCGACAGTCCCATCCTCCGCGATGGTCGGGGAGTAAGTAAGAGGAGGACTGTCAGTTGAGGGAAGTGGTAAGAGCGTAGGTGTCAGTCGAGAAACAGTGTTAGCAGGAGGGGGGGGGGGAAGGAGGAACATAAGGGTAAGGTGAATCTAGAGGAGAGGGAAACACCTGAGAAAGGACAGCTCCTACTGCAAAATCTGACGCATCGGTGGTGACGATAAATGGACGATCAAAATCGGGAAGGCGAAGAACCGGCGCACAGGTCACCACCTTCTTGAGGGCGCAGGCGTCCTCGCACAGGGGTGTCCAAAACCACGACGGGTTCTTCCGGAGGAGGGTAGAGGTAAGGACGTAGGAATACCTAGCGTATCCCTGGATAAAATTACTATAGTAGCTGGTGAGGCCTAGGAAACTGCGAAGCTGCTTGGCAGATGTGGGGACGGGCCACTCTGCAATAGCAGTGATCTTCGTGTCGTCCATGTGGAGACCCTGGTCAGACACATGGTGTCCTAAGAAGTTCACTTTGCGCTGGGCAAAGCGGCACTTACTGAGCTTGGCATAGAGGCCATGCTTGCGTAAGCGCTGTAGGACATCGCGGAGGTGTCTGAGATGGTCTTCTAAGGTACGACTGTAGACCAGGATGTCGTCCAAGTATACGAGAACGTATTCTTCAAGGATGTCCCTGAAGATATCGTTCATCGTCGTCTGGAAGGTGGCGGGTGCATTGGTGAGGCCGAATGGCATCACGGTGAACTCGTTGTGGCCGAAGCGTGATCGGAAGGCGGTTTTTGACTGATCCTCTGTGGCAACGCGGATCTGGTGGTAACCGCGACGAAGATCGATCTTCGTGAAGAAGCGGTTGCCTGCCAGATGGTCAAACAGCTCATCCGCGCGGGGCATGGGATAGTTGTTCTTAACCGTGTAACGGTTAAGGCCGCGATAGTCGATGCAGAGGCGGAGAGTTTCGTCCGCTTTGCGAGCAAAGAGGACAGGTGCATCCCAAGGGGAGTTACTGGGTTTAATGAAACCCAGTCGAAGGAGCTCCTCAAGATGACGCTTGAGTTCCGTCGCCTCTGGGATCGAGAGTCGGTACGGTGCTTGATGGTGAACACGATAGTCAGGCACGAGCTGGATAGAATGCTCAACACCACGCTCCGGGGGAATTCCGCTATATGAGAAATACGGGGGAAAGACATCGCGGTACTCTCGAATCAGGTCGCGAAGGGCCGACTCTAAGTCTGCCGTGAACCGTGTGAGTTCCTCGGCGTCTGCGTCAGCACGAGACGTATGTGTGGACTCGACAGTCGACGGCGCAGGGGCCTGAGACGTGGAGGGGGTATCCGCAGGCTGACGAGTGGATGTAGAGATGGGAGCCGCGAAGATGGAAGGAGGGTTAGGGGGATCGGACTCCAGAGAGATGAGCTCAACCTCGAGACAGAGTGGATCGTAGCGAAGAAGATCCATGACGTTCACTGAGTAGAACGTGACGTCCTCCTGTCGTATGAAGTGAACAAACTGACGAGGGGAAGTGAACGCGATGTTGGGGTGGGACCCTGAGGGACGAGGGTCCTGGGGAAGTAGGTCGGGTGGGGTGTCGCCTGTGGTTCCAATGAACGGGACGCGATGGGTCTGACCACACTTCGTTTTGAGAACGAGTGTCTCGGTCGCCCATTCGGCCTCTGTGCTGCGGAACCGGCGAGACCAGGGATTGCCAAGGATAAAGTCGTACCCAGTCTCCAACACGTCGAAGTATGCGGAGGAATGGTAGCGCCTAGGCGTCTGGGTACTATCCGATGGCTGGAGGGTGAGGGAGAAGTGGAGGTCGGGGACCGTCTGATCGAAGAAGCGCTGCGTCTTGTTATCTCCGAGGGTAACGGAGATAGGAGACTGAGACCCAGAGGTAGCTAGGCGAGCTTCCTCAACCACTCGAGGGTGAACGAAATCTCCCTGCGAGCCAGAGTCCCATAAAGCGCGGTACACCCTCGTAGATGTCCCTAGGCGAATAGGGATGATGGGTAGGGTGCGATCAGGGTCAGAGAGCAGAGTGAGAAGACGACGCAGGACGTTGACGTGCCTCCTGAGTCGCTCCTGACGAGCCTGCAGAATGCTCAAGTCCAGGAGAGATGACACAACGTCATCGCGAGTCGCCAACTGAGTGCTACAACGGGCTGTGCGAATAGCGCGACGCGTCGGAAGTCTCGGGGGAGAAGCGCTAGATGTGGCGGTCTGCGGGGAGGTAGACAGTACCTCGACAGACGACGGGGCAGAGAGAACTGCGTCTGTCGTATCCTGAGGGTCCTCTGGTAGGGTAGCCAAAGGGGCAAACCGCGACTCGGTGGTCCGGAAGCCGGCTACGTGCGAGGCCTCAGGGGTACACTGCACCGTGGCTAGCTGGGTGGGGCTGGTCGGGCCGGGCCGGGGGGGGACTAAGATCGGTGCTGACGAGAAATGTCAGCGTAGTACCGATCGAGGGCGGTGTGGTGTGTCCATCCTGGCGGCAACGAAGGCTGCCTCGTCGGGCCTCGAGGGCGGCACGCTCCTCGGGGGATAGAGCTCTGCGAGGAGGGACAAAACCCTGCGGGATGTCTATCTGAGGAACTGTGGGTGTGCGGGCGCCAGCCTATGCAACCCGACTGCGTGCACGACCCATGGCAGACATGGCCATCTGCAGGCGCTCGGCCATTGGGACAGTGTCGTCATCCAAGTGGTACTGGATGACGTCTCGAAGCTCGATGTCCTCGGGGGCGTCCCCAATGGTAGGATCGAGCTCGGCTGAGGCGTCGTCTCCATACTCGAGAGAACTGTAGTGCCAAGCGAATGGCGCTCCAGGTCGAGCCGGGCGACGAAAACGATCGGCAAACGAGGAGCGGCCTCAGGTGGTACCCCGAGACTGGGAGGTGGCGGCTGGCCGCGAAGAGGATGGAGCGACGGAGAAGCGACTGCACATCCTCTGGTACTGACGTGCAGCCTCGTATGCCTGCTCCACGGAAGAGAATGATCGCCTCCATAGCTCTAGGCGGAAGTCAGTCGGCAGGCTGACAAGGAACCGGTCGGTGAGTGTGACCTCCGGTAGGAACGTCTCGTCGCAAATAAGGCGAGCGTCCTGAAACACCCGGATGTGACGCTCCAGGTCGTCCTGTACAGAGGATCCGGACCATCTGGTCTGGGTGACGCGGTCTAAGGCGTCGGTGGCGTCATGACGAGCGCCGAAACGGTCCTGAAGGAAAGCCGCAAAGTCGGCGAAAGTGGGGACCTCACCTACGCGGAGGCGCTGGGTATAATGACCCTCCCACGCAGTGGAAGGGCTACCTCGCAATTTGGTTGCGAGCACATCGCACCACAACTCCTGACGGGTGGTCGTTATAGAGGGCGTGCGCGTTGCTATCTGCAACCAGCGAGAGACACGGGATGTGCCATCATACTCGGGAATGTCCGTGGTGCGCACAGGAGGATGTTCACTGTGCTGATGGCGGGGGGAGAGAGATCGAGGCGAGTGCACTGCGGCAGCGTAAGTCGAGGCCGCTGCAGGGCAAAGGTCTGGGAAGGCTGTGGGCCTTGGATCAGCAAACGAGGAGGCAACGGCCGCGAGCAGCGGTCCCGGAATAGCTAGGTAGGAGTGAAGAGGCTGAGGAGCAGGTCGAGGGAAACGAGCCTGCATCATGGGGACCGAAGGGGTGGTAGAGGAAGAACGGTGGGCAGCCTGTGATGGGTGAGGCTGTCTCAGAGCGAGAATCTCCGCCTGAGCCTGCGCAATGGTGGCCTGTAAAGTGGTCACTCGCTGGGTGCGCGGGGTCGGAGGTGGAGGGGGCAGAGATGGTCGCCCAGTAGGAGGAGGAATCCCAGTCTGGGCGGTACCCTGCTGTGGGGGTGGGGGGATGAAGGCAGGAAGAAGAGGGCGGAGCCGTATTGCCGCGACCGGTGCACGAAGCTGGGAAGCAACACCGAGGTAGGTCGATGAAACTGCGCGGCCAGATGGCTGTACCTGGACCGCAGCACCTACGGCAGTAGTAGAGACGGTAGGGGCGGCCGTGGCCGGAAGAACTGCCGCAACGGACGGGGTGGTCTGAGCGGTAGCAACACTCACCACTGCTGAGGGGGAATGCTGGGCCTGGCCCGCAGAGGAGGGGGAACCATGGTGACTCCGTCTCTGGAGTCCTAGGAAGCCGGAATCGGAGCCTGTAGGGGAAGGGGTGTGAGAGCGGTGGAGAGAGCGATGAGGGGAGCCCTTGAGGCGGTTGACGTCGAGGGCTAGCTCATTGATTTGCGCTTGCAACGGTCCAAGCGTACTAAGTTGTGCCTGGATTGCTATAAGGATGGCATGAAGGTCCATCGTGTCTGCATGGGCCTGATCATGAGCCGATGACGGCGCGCTGACGTGGACTGTGGACTGCACCGCGGCGATCTCCTCGGATGAACTCACTTCCATGGTCGGAAGGGGAATGGAGGTAGTCCTCAGAGGAGTGTGTGGGGAAAGGGGCCCACCGATAAGAGGAAGGGGACCGAGGGAGCGGAGTGAGTATGTGTGAGTCGGCTCGCCTCGGATTTTGCGGGTCGCGCGTGAGTCGAAGGCGCCGAACCGCTCGAGGGGGAAGGAGCCGTCCAGGTCGAGGGTGCCCGACGGGAGGAGGCGGGAGAGTAGGAAGGGGGGCGAGAGTTAGGAGAACCCTAAACCCTAGAAAACCCTAAGAAAACCCTAACCGGAGTTTAGGTGGTTAGGGGAGGGTAGCGACGACCTAATCAAGAAAAAAAATAATATGGAGGGGAGGGGGAAAGAAAATGAAATAAACAATAAAATTTCGAGATAAAAATAAAATAAAAGAAGAAATAAAAATAAATAAAGAAATAAAATGTAAAGAGTGAGGGAAGAGGACTTATTTATTTTTTTGAAAATTTTGGCAACATTTTCTTACCCCAACGGGGGGTCAAAATTTGCAAAGAGAAAGGAGAGACTAAGAGAAGCAGACTAATTTTTACAATGCCGCAAATTAGAATTTTCAGAAAAATAAGTAAATAAATAGATAAATAAATAAGGAGGTGGAGAAGAGTGAAGAGAAACTAACCAATTTTTGGATTTTTCACAAATTTCGGCAGCACTTCGTTACCCCCACGGGGTCAAAATGTGTGCCGAAAGCAAGAATGGCTAAGTCCTAATCAGATTTTAGGGTGCCGCAAAAAAATTCAAATTTTTAAAATAAATAAAGAAAAATAGAATAAATCAGAAAGATGAGAAAATAAGTAGGGAAGAAGATAATTCGAATTTTTGGAGGAACGGAGAAAATTTAAATAAAAAAGAAGGAGAAAAGAAGAAAAACAGAAAAAATCGAAGTGGGGGGGAGGGGGGGGATGAAAAAGTGATGAAAAAAAGAGAAAAATAGGTGGGAACGAGAAAAGATTGAAGTGGTAGGTGAGGGAGATGATGGGGTTGTAGTTGGGGGAAGAAAGGAGGAGAGGAAGGTGAGATAATGAGAGAGAAAGCTATAGAAAGGGTGAAGAAAAAAGTGCGAGATTAGTAAAAGAAGGTAAGTGGAGAGAGAGGAGAGAAAAAGATGGTGAGAGATGAGTGAAAAGGGAAGGGTATGAAAGATTAAGGGGAAGGAGAGGAGAGAAGCAGGGAAAAGAAGCAAGGAGAGTGAGGTTGGGAGAGGAGAGAGTAAAAATATGGTAGTGGATGGAGAAAGAGTGGAGGGGATGAGAGATTAGTGGGGAGAAGAGGAGAGAAATGAGAAAAGTGAAGAGAGGAGTGAGAAAAGGTGATTGATGAGTGGTGGTGAGAGAAAAAGAAGGTCAGATGATGAAGGGGAGAGAGGGAAAAGGGAGTGGGAGAGTGGATTAGGGATGAGAGAGGTGATACCCAACTCTTGGGTAACCAAGAGCATACAACTTCACAAAGATCCACAAGATCTTGGCCTTCACACACCTCTTGGGAGAAGGGGTCTTCAAGGTGGTGATGAACTGCTGCTGCACATTATCTGGGGTTGGTTGAGATCTTGATCAGCCACCCAGTTCCACTGTAGTGCAGCCCCCTAGCCAGAGGGGGGTTTCAAGAAAAAACTGCCACGTGACACTTTTGGAGATGGCCACGGGTCAAAAGAGGAGATGTAGAGGGCAAAAACTCTTTTGCCAATAACTTTTCACCCGCTGGGTGAAATTTGGCAAAAGAGGTCTTGCTGGAAAGATTTTTGAAAGCCACTTCCAACGAGATAAGGCGCAGCATCAGCCACCGCCTAGCGTAATAGCGCTCGTTGAAAAAACGAGCGCGGGTGGTTATTTTGGAGCTTTAAAAAAAATCGCGATCTTTGAAAGATGGTAACTCCTCAACCACTGCATAGAATTAAGCGATCTATAACTTGTTGGAAGCGGCTCGTCGAGAGATTTCCAACCAGCTAAAGATCAATAAATTTAGACCACTGGTACAGAAGTTACAATCGAAAGAGTGCACCGGTGTCATTACCAAAGAAAAGTGGCGAGCGTTTTTTTTTTTTTTTT